ATAACTTTTCAAACCCTAAAGTTAATGTCAAATTTCGGGAATCAAAAACATACTCTCAAGGGTCTAGTTAAAGCCCTGTGATACCTCATTTTTTTTTTTAGAGAATTGAAATCTGAAGGGCCTAACACAAGTCAAATAGACATAACTTTTCAAACCCTAAAGTTAATGTCAAATTTCCGGAATCAAAAACATACTCTCAAGGGTCTAGTTAAAGCCCTCAATAATTTTTCTAGAGAATTCGACCCTTACTGATAGACTCATAGTAATTATATAATATGTCCAGGGAAGCTTGATCATGAAAGGAAGACATGATAATTCATTCCCATTATTTTACATCTTATCAAATACTTTGTTTGTGTTTTACGTCCTATTAACAGCTATGGTCATTAAAGGACGTGTCAAGTTTTGGTGGTGGAGGAAAGCTGTCGGAGAGAAAACCACCGACCGACGTCCAGTCTGGCGGCAGTACATGACGACTGCCCCACGTAGGTCTCTAACCCACGACCCATGGGCCAGTGATGGAGGGCTAGTGGTAGCAGAATGTCGGATGCCTTAACCACTTGGCCACCACCTTATCAGATACACTGTCACTATTATGTTTGTATACAGATGAGGTAATAAGTCTTACTCTACTTTATGTACAATGTACGCACTATATATATATATATATATATCAGACCTTTTGAACATGTTAATACACTGATTAATATAACATCGTTGCAACTCTCAGTTCATTTCTTTCAAATCAAAAGTAACAAAGTAATAAACAAGGTTTGTGCTTATGTACTTTTATATGTAGAAGTGTTTAAAAGTCAGGTCAATCTGATCAGTTAATACAGAAACACATATTTACATTGTTATTTATCATATGATTATTATACATGTATGTAGAGAATAATTCAATTCTAGTATTAACCTTATCAACTCATATTTGATTTTTTCAACTGTGGTACATCAGGAAAATCAATATATATATAGATGTTGGGGTCGTCTAAAGGCCACGCTCAAGTCTGAGTCAACGGCCATGTTTTATTGTTACCCGGTATAATTGACACTTAACTGTGTATGATGAATCACATGCATTATAATAAAGTCCAAAATTAAGCAGTTTTCTTTGCATAAAAGCAGGAAGGTTTTGTATATAATCCTGTTGCCTTGTGTGAAGTACCTTTGTGACTTTTTGAATGTGGACAGCAGAAACCGTGGAAACTTTGTCCTCCTTGGCAGCATCCTGCGCGGCATTTGCCAGCCTCTGCATCATGAGCAAATACTCCAGCCAGAGCTGCGAAGTGGAAAGTTCAGTATTATAGTACTTGTTATATTAGTACACGTGTACATAATGTGGTATTAACTGAGGCTTAACCATTAAACAATTCATTGTTGGGTTTTTGACATCAACATACTACATTGTATTCAAATGAAAATCTCCATTTAAGAGATTTAAAAATTATGTAGCATATTATATTTTATGCGACACAAGTATAAGACCCTAAGGTGAAAATTTATCAATACTCAACTGAATTTGACCTAATGAGCACTGTGCATGTACATCTGCCCCTTCTTGAACAAAGGGCTTTAACATGGTTCATATGAATAACCTTCACATACATTTGTACATTGAATATGACTTAAACAATATATGACTGTCCAAATCCATCAAATTTTTACTTTTTGAATTGTATCAGCACTTTCAGTAGTTTGATTTTAATAATATATTAACGAAAAAACAAAGCTCACTTTCAGTACTATGGGTTATATTTTCCTATTATTCTTATAGAGGGTAAAGAAAATGAGGTTTTAAAATAGGTTTGTGATCATCAAAGACCCAATCAGTCCTATCAGTGAAAATCCTGTCAAATTGTTAGCCAACAATTTCTAGTTTCCTTTTAGTTTACTTCAATTTGACATATTCTATCTAAAAATATCATAAATTAAGTCTTTGGTAGAGAATTTAAGGGTGGGGCATGCACAGGGGGGCTTCACTTCACCATAAAGATGAAATGAAGGGTTTCAGCATTCTTTTGCTATTTGACCTTTTTGAACCAAATCTTTTTTAAGTTTATATCAATTTGATGTCCTGTAAATGAAAATATTGATGATGCTGTGGTCAGTGCCTATCATATTGTCACAGACACTAGCTTTGGCTGTCAATACATGTACACCTATTATTAAGTCAAAGGTCAGTTTGGATACTGACCAGCTGTTTAATTTTATATAGACAATAAATTAACTGATCTGATGCTGCTACAAAGTCAGACTCACTCAGCTCGATTATCCTCTTGCCCTCACACCAGGGCTGCTTTTGTTAATCTTGTTCCAAACAGTTGAACTTGCTGGGCCACAGTTGTTCACTTGTGAAATAAATTACCAGGTATAAGGTCGGACCTAGGACTAGTCATCTGGAATTTATCCCCTGGGCGAGCCTTGACTAAGCCTTGCAAGCTTAAGACATGCATAAAGTTTTCTAGGTCCACCAACATTTATATACCCGAAATGTTAAAATCAGACGAATCAGTTGTTCCGCAGTATAAACGAACAGGTCCCAGACTTACATAGACATTTTACAGATAGACGAACAGGTTAGGTAAAAAGGCGCATATGGGTAATAATCCTGCATTGGGGTATACGTAACAGTTACCCGTTTTAGTAGCATTAGTGATTTAAAAACATACAATGTTCCTTTAAACACTTGGTGCAATTTTATTTTTATTTTTTCAACTAAAAATCCAATAAATTACACAATGAAGTACATTTACATTTCACACAAAGAGTTGTTCAACATACCCAGAATGAAAAAACATAGTATGATACCTTTCATTTTGGGTCATAGGACGTGTCAAGTCCCTGTGATTGCGTATATGTATTCACAACATACACAATAGAACGAAATTGTAAGAATATGCAAAAATTGCATGATTTTTTTTTATACCGGCAGCATATATTTGCTGGTATAAGTATTTCCTGTCTTGATAAAACTTAACGGTTTCAATTGTTATTGCAATATTTATTCAATATAGAACAAAAACTTTTGTACATATTGGATATCATTTTCCGGGGAATTATCTCCATGGATACGCTCCATCGAGAGTAACACTGCAGCTGACATCCGTGGGTACACAATGTACTATCGGCACACAGGTTATCTAACGTCACTGTACCCACATCTGGACACTTTTTAGATAAATATCAATCTTTTTTATACAATACTATACTATCAGTTCCAAAAATGTTTGTTCATTTTTCATAAAAAGATATCATCCACTTTACATTTTTATCACAATTTGATATTTCGGGCGCGTGGTTCTATAAAAAGAACGCAAAATACCATCAGAGTTACGTAGGCCATTCAACTGGCGTTACTCTACCCTGGAAGGGACCCTTCCGATACTGTGGGGAATATTAGGGTATAAAGGATCAATATCCGCAGAAAATATGCATAGTTGAAATATTTTAGAGTCAACAAAGGTTCTGAATAAATATCTTCTCCAAACTCTCATTAGTTTTGATAAAATAAACTTTTGAAAATAATATCCAAATAAATAGCGTTGCACGATATGTAAATCAGGAAAGTCTACAACACTACAAAAAGACTTAGATCTTCTGGAAAAGTGGGAACAAAATTGGTTAATGTCATTCAACCCTGATAAATGTGAAATTCTACACATCTCAAAGAAAAGGCTGACACACAAATTTAACTATATTCTCCATGGAAAAATTCTAAAGCAAGCAGATTCGGCTAAATACCTGGGCTTAACCATCACTAAAAACTGTTCATGGAACACCCACATTACCAACAAGGCAAATTCATCCCTAAGATTCATTCGGAGAAATATTAAAACCAACAATGTAAAACAAAAGAGTTAGCTTATAAAACTTATGTCCGCCCACACATTGAATACTGTAGCCCCATCTGGGATCCATGGCAGGCAAACCTTACCCATAAAGTTGAAATGGTGCAGAGAAGAGCCGCCAGGTACGTAAATACACCCTTGTGTGCTATAATGTAACTACACCAGTAGTGTTACAGAAATGCTCCAAACCCTGAACTTGAAATCCCTTGAACAACGCCGTAAAATGACCTCCACCATATATATATATTACTATATAAAATCATAAACAGCCTTGTGGCATATGATGGCAACCTCCAAATTCTCCAGCAAACCAGACAACACAAATTACAGATTCCACACAGCTCCACAAATTATCATGCAAATTATTCTTTCCTAGAACAATTAATTCATACCTGGAACAGCCTTCCAACCTTCATCGCCGACAGTGCAGACCTCTTAACACTGAAGGCAAATCTCTCTCACAAATTCTAAGCGTACATGTTGTTTTTATTATATACATATATGTAGTTCTAAAAAATAAAAAAAATACTTGTTTTTTAACCGATCTCTCTGACGCCTCTAAATAATGTTCAGTATATTGAACGTTTTAGAGTATCCTCATGTCATGAAAGGTTTTCTCAAATAAAACTGTCTACATAAAGGTACTTCTTTGCATTGAATGACAGTTTCTTGGGCCGATTGTACACTTACTTTTAGATAAAAGATAAAATGTAATCGTATTCGTGCACATCAGTTATTATATAAGTACGTCTTGTAAATGTATAAATGTATGACGTGAGAAGGCTATGATAAGTTTAATAACTTTTATCCAATCGATTGTTTAAAAATCCCGAAACGACTTTTGACATGTCCCGAAACAACCCGGAAAAAAGTCCCGAAACAACTTTCGTCTTATTACCGAAACGACCCGACACCCTGTCCATTACCGATGAAGGATACATTCTGAGAGTAAAACACTCACCAAAAGATCTACTTTTGATTGCTTCACAATAGATCGCTTAATGTTCTTCTTCACTTGTGTCCTAAATTTGGTTTGTGGACACTTTGGAATCATATTGTTGTCTCGTTGTATTTTATGTTGCTTTAGCTTCCGTATTTCAAATAGTGCGCGTTAATTGTGTTCCTCCGATAGAAGATTTCCATATCCGGTATTTCACTTCCGGTTCTGTGGTCCTCGTGTCCATTAAAAATAAATTCTATAGGCCTATATTTTACAGTCAAGATGGCAAAGACAAGTACAAAGAAACCAAGAATAAGAGATTATGTTAACAAATCGAACCATAGCATGAATCCGGGTAAGTTGAAATTTGGTTATTGTTCAACGAAATGGTACGATGTTATGGAAAAGTATGGCAGTTAGTGAGTTACCTAGAGCTTCTTGTCTTGGTAATCACAGCTACTCCTATGCAATGGGAATCTCTTGTCACAGTACAGACATGTTACTGCAAAGTTGATTATAATCAAAAGCGACCTCAAGTGAAATTTACAAGTAAACAAACAACATCATTTAGAAATAAAAAAAAATCCTCATGCAATTGGTATACTATAGGGGACAAATCTTCCATCTCTTATGTTAGTAATTCAAAGAAAAGCACATACATGTACAAAACCAACACCTCAACTAAAGTAGCATCGGATGATCAGTTTCTGAGCCCTTAAGGTGAAACTTGCCGATTAAACAAAGTAGAGCAACTGAGCAGTTCAGTATAATAAAATATAACCACGGACCCAGATAGCATAGAAAGGTAATGAACTCATCCAGAAACATAAACATGGGTTATTAACTTTAACCCATGTGGCAAAATTTCAGCAGTCAATCTTGACAAATTATAGCTCTAATCACGGACTTAGATACTCTAATCCTGTGCTCTATTTAACAGGTCCAGTACACTCTGCCGATTGAGCTATATAGCTATAAAGACCTATATAGCTATATACACCTATAAATTATAGCTGTATTGAGCTATATCTTCTCAGATTTCAAATTTCATTAAATTAAAGCAAAGTCGCATAAAAGATTAAGGTTTATGGTAATGTTGACTACAAAGAGCATACAGTTAGATGTTTATTTTCATTTTTCATAAATGTAAAATTTCCGATTTCTTTACATCGTTATTTTTTAAAAAGAATACTTATATTTAATGTCTTTTGTTATCAACCTAATGATACAATTTTCTTTTAAAAGCGACTTTGTTTCGTTTTCTTTAAAAAAAGAAAATCACTTGAAAATAGCTCAAAAGACCTATTTCAGATAGGTCAATAGAGCTATTATAGGTCTTTACAGCTATATAGCTCAATCGGCAGAGTGTACTGGACCTGTTTAAAGCCCATCAAAGATAGATCTTCAAAACAACATGTGACACTTCCAACTTTTATTCCATAATACATGTTGCATATCTGATGTTAATCTATCAAATCTTTCCAAGTTTGCCTTGTCAGTCAACTACATGTAAAAGGATTGAGTATCTAACACATTTCTATATCGAAAGGAATATTCATGGGGTGACATTGCCATATCAATTTTTAAGATATTACTATATGTGTACATCCTAACTTACATTATTAATTTGCATACACTAATGGTGTCTTCAATCTTTTTAGAATATTTTAAAGCTTACAAGTCACCATGTTTTATCTTTCTATTCTGGGTCGACGCGTCACACACGGTTATGAACGTGGCGTTCTGCTTGCATTGGTGGAATAGAGTAATAGTATATGTGTGACCAATATTAAGAAGTCACTGCGCTAGCTAGCAATCTGTTAAATATCATATTTGCATTATGTTTTACTTCTGTTCAGTAAAATAATGTGGTGAGGATTTAGTCAGAGGTGTGATAAACTAACAGGATATAGCAATTTACTAAAACAAAGATTTTTTTAATGGTTTTGAATTGTATTACAGATAGAAAGAAGGGTGAAGGAGGGTCGAATATGCGTGATCGAGCCACAATCAAGCGACTTCAGATGTATAAAAATTTCAAACCAAAAAGGTAGGTAGTTATAGGTATTAATGTAAATATAGAATTCAATTTCACTTAATATCTTGATTTACCTATATCTCTAGACTGAGGGGACTGAAGAAGATATTCCCATATCAGTCAACAACATCCCAGAAGAGAAACTATTTCACATTTGTTACAGGTAAAACCTGGAATAATTTTCAGGAGGACGTTAACGTTGTATCTACTCAAATATCAACACGTTTAAGAACAGAATAGATGAACTTTGGTAGAATGAAGATCAACTTAATTATAACTATAGGGCAAATGTAATTAACAATGGACTTTATATTAAACAATTATTTAATTTTTGAATCCAGTGATGAAGAAGTCTATCATCTCCTTTAATGGAAAATGACTTTATATTAAATTGATCTTACCTTATCTTAACTTTATCTTATCTTATCTTGGTGGATAATATATATATCAAAACTATGATATCAAAGAGGATCTTAAAAGGTTAATAGGAAATTTTAATATAGTTACTATAATTTGTATATCTGTCATAGTCTTGCTGTGTATATTTACATAAAAGATTTGGGTTTTTCGGTGTGCATATACATGTACAGTCCAGTTATTTTTCTACTTCCTTTCCACAGGGGCATGTGTCTGTTTTTTGGGGGAAATATCACCCACAAAAATCATGATTTTGTGGAAAAAAATTGTCTGTACAATACAAGCAAAAATTAGCCGGAGGAAGGCCCCAAATCAACCTTAAAAAATTCACTGACAGTGTAAATACAGTAGATGAATAACCTATTCAGCACTTTTGTATTGTCTTGTCTTTTACAATCTGCATTTTGAAATGTTTTAGGGACAGTACAGGGAAGATCACTAAAGCAGCCCCTTTCCAATCTCGCCTGCCCTCTGGTACTGTAGCTAGGGTAGAACCCAACAGGAAATGGTTTGGTAAGTCAAAAATGTTTCAAGTTAATAATGGTTCAATGCCTATTTTTATCAATGATTCTGTTGTATACTGTTAAGTGTAAACATTGACACTGTTCCCATTTTTAGCTGAAGCAAAAAGATGCTTGGATTCCACTAGTTCAAAGATATTACTTATGCATTCATATAATCAACATCATTTCATTCTCCAAATCCAAACTTAAAAAAGGACTAGTGCTAATACTATTGCCTATTTTTTGTCCAAATGTGAGCTAATTTTTTAAGATAATAAAAGTATTTCAAATTTTCACGATTTAGGTCTGAAAGATTTTTGTTCATAATGTATACATGTACCTATAAATAATTAATTAATGATTTCATGACATATATATTAAACTTCACTAGTAGGCAAAGAAAGCACACACAGAGATTGATACTACTGTGACAGTGTATATATAGTACCTTGACTATGTTGTTGTGATAATTTATTCTGTTTTATCATTAACACACAGGTAACACAAGGGTCATAACACAGAATGCTCTACAGACGTTCCAGGAGGAGATGACCAAGGTCAAGAATGACCCTTACAAAGTTGTCATGCGACAGACAAAACTCCCAATCACCCTTCTAAATGAAACAGCAAAAGTGAGTAGCTGGTGGTTAAAGAATTTTTCTGTTGGTAATATCTTCATGAATTCTGAGCTTTATCAGACTTGCTTAAAGTAATTGTTTGGGATTGCATTTCAGGTCAAATGTCATAATATGTATTTGTTGGATTTCAAAATTCTCATAGTTTGACAAATAACTTTAACACACTGTAAATGTATGTATATATATATTAGTGGTTGTCATATTTAAGCACCTTTCACACATTTAAGATTGCACATGATTACAATTTCTGTTAACTGTTTTCTTCTGCTGATCATTGTGGTGTCCTGCTGATCCTTGTGGTGTTCACATAACAATGACAAATCTGTTAAATATGATAATGCACTAAAATAGCAATGTTTATAATACTGATATTATTGTTAAGTCAAGAAGGTATCTATTCAATATGTATAATATATTACACACGTTACATGTAGTAATTCCGCCATTGAGATGTTTAATCACCCAGCGGAACCTGTGAATGTGTTGTTTTCATGTGTCCGTCTTGACAAATGAACAATATAAATTGACCTATAAAAATGAGTTCAGTTCTGTGCAGGGAAAGATTCCATGTCTTTGTAAACCTTTCCACTATGTAATTTATCATGAGATTTTTTTTATGTTTTGAAAATGTTTTGCAGCATGCAAGAGTGCATCTCTTAGATACAGAAAGTTTTGAAACAACATTTGGAAAAAGGTCACAGAGGAAAAAACCTAACCTGAAGTTTGAAGATATGCAGGTAATGAAACATTTTGTTTTGTTGTGTAAACTTTTATTACCATCATTGTACCAAAAATGCAACACTTTTCAGTGAAATATTGATGTATTTTATACCATAGTATCAATTCATAAGATGTTTGACTTCTTTTCATAGTTAGACATCATCCACTTTTATTTTCTATTACAAGTTGATATTTCCGGCGTATGGTTCTATAAATAAAACAGGAAATACTATCAGGGTCATGTAGGTGCTTTAACAGATAACTGTAAGGGATACTTTGGTATTTTAGCTAATATTTTGGGATAAATTATCAATATTAGCAGAAAATTACAGTGTTTAAATATTTTATACTCAAAGAAGGTTCTGATTAAACGTCTTCTCAAAATTAGCATTTCTTTTGAAAAAAATAAGCTTCTGAAAATGACATCTAAATAGGTAGTATCACACAGCACATAAATTCAGCCTAATTTTATAATTATTTAATTGTCAAGATTATATTATTCCAAGAGTATCTTCAATTTCATTTGTTGAAATTTTGATCAGGCTTTGATGGAACAAGCATCATCTTCAGCAGAAAAGTATGATTCAGAAAAAGACCGTGATCTGGTAACTGAGGAACCAGAGTTCAAACTTGAAGCACCAGAGGTCATCTTCAAGGCTGGACAATCAAGACGAGTGTGGGGTGAGCTATACAAGGTAAGACAAGGGTAATTGTGGTTGTGAGTTTGATGTACACATCTTACTTCCTTTAGTTCATCTAAACCAACAGTTCCCTCCCTATTTCTTAATTAACCACCGTTGGTTCAGTCATTCTCTCCATTTACATGAAAAGACACAAAACAATTTCATCTCAAAGAGATATTGTGAGAATAGTACAATATCCTTATGTTCACTTTACAAGCTTTTATTATTTTGTTCTCGATGAAATAAATTCAATATTTAGTTGAAAGTTGAACATCTTATACTGAATCAATGAAGTTAGCAAATGTTTTAACCAATATGCAATATTGTAACTTTTTTCTGTCCTACAGGTAATAGACTCGTCCGATGTGGTCATACAGGTGTTGGATGCTCGGGATCCACTCGGCACTAGATGTTACCAGATAGAACGCTACATGAAAAAGGAAAAACCACACAAGCACCTTATCTTTGCTCTCAACAAGGTTGACCTAATCCCAGTCTGGGTCACTGTGAGTACTTTCCCCCCAAATATTCACCATATTTATTATATTAATACTGCAAATGATTGGTATACTACTATATTTAGTACTATATTTTTTGACACTTGCATTAGGTAACGCATTTGACATTAGCTCCATCTATGTCCTTATTTGTATTTAAATATGTTTACTCAATCTCACTATAAAATAAAACCATTTTTTTTTTTTTGCATTTAACTTTTATGTTAAATAACATCTTCATTTGTTCCAGTAACACAACCTGAGTTTGCCAGTATAATATTTTGTCAATGATAACAAAATTTACTTTCAATCCACAACTTTAAAAAAAAAAAAATCAGTTGAATTTGTACTCAACAAGGAAAAAATGGGAAGAATCTACTAAACAAGAGAAAATTTTACTGGACAAAATAATCAATACACTTAACAGCACATATCTATTTTAAGCATGTTTGAGGCCAGTAGCATGTTGGCATGAATGGCTATCAGTTCAAATATATGACTGACCCACTTTCAAAGTTACAAGGGTGAAAGCGTCAAAACCTTCACATGACTTCTTTTGAATACCTAATGGGCTGATGGTGGATAGTAGGATTTGGCCAGTAACAAGCTGTGATGAAGGGCTATCAAATTTGTTAAAGTAAATCACTTTGAATTGATTGAAGGTCAGTTAGGTCAAAGTTTGTTTAAACATTTAAACCACTTCTTCTGAATTTCCTAAAGAAAGATCTTGGTTCATTATTATTGGCATGTAGAGTAATGGTGTGAAATGCTGTGAAGTGAGAGGTCTGAATGAAGGACCAAGACCAACTTCGAAAGTTAGATTATCAAAATAAGTGAAGAATCATAATGTGTAGAGTGATGACATTTAGCCTATTTAAAAAAATGATCATGATCCTCTTTAAAGATCGCAAATATGAGAAGAATTACAGGTGAGTAATACATGCCCAGTTGGCCTCTTGACTTTTAAGGTCACCTGAGCTTTAGCTCAAGTGACCTATTGCTATCCGTTTTCGTCTGCCGTCGTGCGTCGTCCGTTAACATTTTACATTTTCAACTTAAGCTGAAATACAGGCAAAGGAATTTCCTTAATATTTCATTGGAAGGTTACTGACATCCAATATGGCCACCACGGCTGCCATTTGTAAAAATATATTTCAAACTTAAAGTCAAGTTCTACTGGGCAGATTGAACTGAAACTTAATAGGACTGATCGACTCCTGACAAACTTAAGTCAACGTTATAATTAACTATTTTGTCCTCAAATTGGTACATATTTCAACAACAAAAATAAATACTGAAGGACTCAGGTGACCGTTAAGGCCCATGGGCCTCTTGTTTCCTTTAAATGCATATTGATATGGTGTCACCTTTATTCAAATTAATACAAACACTTCCTTATATTCATTATTCATATTTTTATCCTTTTTGTCATTGTTTAAATTTCAAAAAAGAATATCAAAAGTATAATTTCTTTTCTTTCCCAGCAAAAATGGGTGGCTATTCTATCATCCGAGCACCCTACGATGGCCTTTCATGCAAGCATCACAAACCCATTTGGGAAAGGCTCCCTCATCAATCTCCTACGACAGTTTGCCAAGGTAAGATATCTGTGGCAAAGTTATAATATAGTGACAGTTAGGTAAGTAAAAATATTCAAAAAAACCTTCAGTCTGGGAATGGTTGAAACATGATAACTATTATCTATTTTGCCGTACTAGCACAGTAAAGAGGGTGGATTGGAATCAGCTTGACTGCAGTCTAAAGGTCCGGTGTAATGATGGGGCTAGACAGCACATGTGTGTCTGTGTTTCTGTTGTCCTCATTAGTCATTTTAGTAAAACTGGATGATATTAAGTGTTGACTGTTTTAGTACAACTTTATAATATTAAGTGTTGACTGTTTTAGTACAGCTTTATTATATTAAGTGTTAACTGTTTTAGTACATCTTTATAATATTAAGTGTGACTGTTTTAGTACATCTTTATAATATTAAGTGTGACTGTTTTAGTACAACTTGTTTGGTATTTGTTTCCTCATCAGCTACACAAAGACAAGAAACAGATTAGTGTTGGATTTATAGGCTACCCAAATGTGGGGAAGAGCTCCATCATCAACACCCTCCGGGCCAAGAAAGTCTGTAATGTTGCACCTATAGCAGGCGAAACAAAGGTACATTTTACATCGTAATTTCATCATAGTGTTCTTTAAATTGAATAGTATTTCATTAGATCTATGTTTTAGTGGGAGTTGAAATAGATACAAAATGGGTGAAAGGACACCTGTATTTATCTGGATGAGAAATGAAACTAAAAAATAAAACATGTGGATAAAAAACATGTATTGTCGACGCAAAAAAGTACAAAATGTACTTCTGTTTGAAATATATGGGTATTGAGGTATTGGGGTCTACTTCTGTTTGAAATATATGGGTATTGGGGTCTACATCTGTTTGAAATATATGGGTATTGGGGTCTACTTCTGTTTGAAATATATGGGTATTGGGTCTAAAATGATTGTTAGAATATGTAGTGAGTACTGCGGAAAATAGTGAGTGAATGAGGTTACGAAAACCCCCACCTGCTCCCTCCCTATAATTAGGGCTTTTCACCAACTGGTGAAAAGACCTATTGTTTTTGTTAAGTTTCTTATTCTTATTCTTATTATTCTTCTTCCGTACAGAATTGATGCAATTATATTATATGTAGATAATTTTCGGGGCTAATTTTTAGGTCACATGAGCTTTAGCTCAAGTGACCTATTGCTATCCGTTTTCGTCCGTCGTCGTCCGTCGTCCGTCGTCTGTTAACATTTTACATTTCAAACTTAAAGTCAAGTTCTGCTGGGCCGATTGAACTGAAAGTTGGTAGGAATGATCGCCTCATGGTCCTGACAAAGTGTTGTTATTTTT